TTTTTTTTTTTCCTCCCACCGTTCGTCTCACAAAGGACTTTCCTGAGCTGCGTCTGGCTTCTATCAGTCAATCCGGATCGATCGATCGATCAGTCCCTTATTTCTGTCGAGGACCAGCTTGCAAACAAGAGGACTAGATGACCTCCAAGGTCCCTTCCAACTTTAACTACTACTACTACTACTACTACTACTACTACTACTACTACTACTACTACTACTATTATTATTATTATTATTATTATTATTATTATTATTATTATTATTATTATTATTATTATTATTAACAAGGACAGATCAATCCGAAAAGGGCTGGAAGGGAACCTTGGAGGTTTATGTTTATGTTTATTTAGATTTGTACACCGCCCTATCTCCCTTACGGGACTCAGGGCGGTGAACAGGTGATAATAAAAATCACAATAAATATCTATTCTAAAATCAAATTAAATAAATAAAGGCCTGCTCTAAAGTACCCCATATAAAAACCTATACTAAAACCTAATTAAGACTACGCCAGGCCGGCCGCACGAAATAGATGGGTTTTCAGGGCTCGGCGAAAAAGGCGCAGGTCCGCAGTTGTACGTAGGTTGGGGGGTAGGTCTTCTAGTCTGACCCCCTGCTCAGGCTGGAGACCCTCTACCATTTCAGACAAGTCCAGTTTCTCCTTAAAAACTTGCACTCTTGGAGCGACCCCACAACTTCTGGAGGCAACTTGTGTGCCACTGAATAGTCGATCTGCTCAAACAGGAAAGCCTATATGGTATCATCCCAGACAAATGGCTGTCCAGTCTCTTCTTAAAAGCCTCCACTGATGGAGTACCTACATCTTATGGTGGCAAGCTGTTCCACCGGCTGATTGTCCTCCCTGTCAGGAAATTTCTTCTTAGTTCTAGGTTGCTTCTCTCCTTGATTAGTTTTCATTTTTCTAGAAAATTCTGGGAGTTGAAGTCCACAGATCTGAAAGCATCCACATCTGGGAGGATGGGACCCCACTTGGTAACATGCTAGCTGGGCAATTCTGGGAGTTGAAGCCCACCCATCTTAAAGCACTCCCAGAGTTGATGTCCCTATGTCTTAAAAGCCTCAGGCTGGGGAATTCTGGGAGTTGGAATCTACCCATCTTAAAGCTGCCTGCCTGGTGAATTCTGGGAGATGAAGCCCACCCATCTTCCCAACTCCTTTGGGAAAGAGTGGTGTGTTGGTCTTCCTTCTAAAAGAGATGGTTGGGACGGTCAGCTGGGGGTCTTCCTCCAGACAACATCCCCCCCAAACTAGCTAATATTTAATAATAATAATAATAATAATAATAGCAGTAGTAGTAGTAGTAGTAATAATAATAATAATAATAATAATAATAATAATAATAATAATTACAAAGACCTACAAATAGAAATAGAAAGACTGTGGCAAAGGCAAGCAAGGGTGGTACCAATAGTAATAGGCGCCTTGGGTGCAATCCCAAAACAACTGGAGCACCACTGGAACACCATCATCGGCATTGACAAATTCGCCATTAGTCAGTTGCAAAAGGCAGCCTTGCTAGGAACTGCTTCCATCCTGCGACAAGGTCTGTAATAACATCAAACATCCACATCTGCCTATCCCAGGTCCTGGGTAAGGACTCGATAGGTAGACAAAATGCCAAATCCAGTCTGAACATCTGGCTGACTGTGCGATGATTAATAATAATAATAATAATAATAATAATAATAATAATAATAATAATAAGTCAATTGCAAAAGGCGGCCTTACTAGGAACTGCTTCCATCCTGCGACGAGATCTGTGATACCATCAAACATCCACATCTGCCTATCCCAGGTCCTGGGGAAGGACTCGATAGGTAGACAAAAAGGCCAGATCCAGTCTGGACATCTGGCTGACTGTGCGATGATCAATAATAATAATAATAATAATAATAATAATAATAATAATAATAATAATAATAATAATAATAATAATAATATAAAGTTGGAAGGGACCTTGGAGGTCATCTAGTCCATCCCCCTGCTCAGGCAGGAAACCTTATACCATTTCAGACAAATGGCTGTCCAGTCCCTTCTTAAAAACTTCCAGTGTTGGAGCATTCACCGCTTCTGGAGGCAGGTAGTTCCACTGGTTAATTGTTCTAACTGTCAGCTCATCCTCCCTGCGAAGTCCGAGCCCTGAATATTTCCTGAATTCTCGTTCTTTCTCTCCGCTTTAAAGGGCAAAGGACTTTTTGCCACCCGAAACATCAGGAAAGGGGACACGATTTTTGTGGAAAAGCCTGTGGTGTCGGCTCAGTTTCTTTGGAACGCCCTGTACAAATACAGAGGTAAGTGACGAGTTGCAATCTGTCCTCGCGCGTACGATCCGTGTGGCATGTTCCCTGTCATGTGATCACGGTTTGGGCACTCCGCAACTGACCCACCTTTCTGAGCGTTGCAGTGTCCCACAAATTGCGTGGCTGGCATTTCTGACCTTGATACTCTCTGCGCTGGGTGGTTTTCTTGCAGACGTTTCAGGACCCAGCTAGGTAACACCATCAGTGCTAGAAAGGAATGGGGTTTGCAGGAAGGAGGAGGAGGAGGACTGTGGAGTCCTTGGTCCTTTCTGACCCTAATTGTTTTCTTGCAGATGTTTCATTATCCAACTAGGAGATATTTCCAGGGCTAGAAGGGAGTAAGGTTTATGGAGAGGAGGAAAAGGGAGGACTGTGGGGTCCCTGGTGGTCTTTGAGCTGGGTGGTTTTCTTGCAGACGTTTCATGACCCAACTAGGTAACACCATCAGTGCTAGAAGGGAGTGATGTTTGCAGAGAGAGGGAGGAGGAAGAAGAAGAAGAAGCAGGAGGAGCGGGAGGAGGAAAAGGACTATGGGATCCTTGGTGCTCTCAGAGCTGGGTGGTTTTCTTGCAGACATTTCGTGACCCAACTAGATAGCATTATCAGTGCTAGAAGGGAGTGGTGTTTGCAGAGACAGGGAGGAGGAGGAGGAGGGAAGGAGGAGGAGGAGGAGGAGGAAGAAGAAGAAGGAGAAGGGGAGGGGAGGGGGAAGAGGAGGAAGAGGAGGAGGAGGAGAAATATGGAGTCCTTGGTGCTGTTTGAACTTGGTGGTTTTCTTGCAGACGTCTCATGACCCAACTAGGTGACATCATCAGTGCTAGAAAGGAGTGATGTTTGTGGAAAGAGGGAGGAAGAGGATGAGGAGGAGGGCAAGGAAAAAGAATGTGGGGTCCTTGATGCTCTCTGAGCTGGGTGGTTTTCTTGCAGACATTTCATGACCCAACTAGGTAGCGCCATCACCGCTAGAAGGAAGGTGGGTTTGCAGAGTGGAGGAGGGGAAGGGAAAGGGGGAGGAGGAGGACTGGGGGGCCCTTGGTGCTCTCTGAGCTGGGTGGTTCTCTTCCAGACATTTCATGACCCAACTAGGTAACATCATCAGTGCTAGAAAGGAGTGATGTTTGCGGAGAGGAGGAGCAGGAGGAGGAAGAAGAGGACGACGAGGAGGAGGGCGAGGAAAAGGACTGTGGGGTCCTGGGTGCTCTCTGAGCTGGGTGATTTCCTTGCAGACGTTTCATGACCCAACTAGGTAGCGCCATCAGCGCTAGAAGGGAGGAGGGTTTTCTAGTGCCTTGCCCTGTCAGCGTTGGTGGGAGTGTGGATTTCTTCTTGCTGGTTCCTTGAGTGGGATGTTAGTTTGTCCCCTCCAAACAATTCTAACAAAGCTGGGGGGGGGGGCTTGCAATCTCCCCCTGCCCTTTTATCTTCCCTTCCAGCCTGCGACCACTGCTTGCGCGCCCTGGAAACGGCCGAGGAAAATGCTCAGAGGCTGCTGGGAAGATTTCAGCTGCTTCCTCACCCGGAGAAATGCAGCATTCGAAAAGACCTCCACCAGCGCTGTCCCAGCTGCCAGGTAAACCGACATTGGCTGCGTAGATGTGTGTTGGTGTGCCATGAAAAAAAAAAAAAAAAGATAGATAGCCTATAAAGATTGACTGTTAAAATAACCAGGATACGTATAAACTAAAAATGATTGATAAGGGTCAGAAAGTTATTTTTTTATTTAATGGATATCATAAGAATTGTGTTAGTTGAAACATGAGACAGTAAACACAAAGGGGAAAAGAGAGGAAATATTTAATGTCATCGTTTTGAGACTTGCACTAAAGAGATTTGTATGCTACTGAATTATCGATTAACTCAGCCGCCACGTTGCTTTTTAAACATTTAAATGTAAAAAACTAGAAAATCAATAAAACTTTAAAAAACAAATAGAAACAGTTCACTGAGGGGCATTTGTTTTACCACCCCATTCAGACAGTTCCAAGGACAGACAGACACACACACACACACACCCAGTTTAACCCTGATCCATAAATATTCTCTTTTGCACATAGCTCTCCACTTACATCTATTCGTTTAGTGACTGTTCGAAGTTACAACAGCACTGAAAAAAGTAACTTCTGACGGTTTTGTCCC